CCTCGGCACCCCGCAGCCCCAGGGCACCCCGCAGCCCCAGGGCACCCCGCAACCCAGGCATCCCGCAGCCCCAGGCACCCCGCAGCCCCAGGGCCCTGCAGCCCCGGCACCCCGCAGCCCCGGGCAGCCCGCAGCCCAGGGCACCCTGGGCAGCCGGGACACCCCGCAGCCTGGGGTACCCCGCAGCCCCAGGCAGCCCAAGTGAGGAGGAGTGTGGCTGATCTGCAGGCTGCAGCCCTGGCACCCCGCAGCCCTGGCACCCCGCAGCCCTGGCACCCCCAGTGAGGAGGTCGCCCACAGCCCTTACCATTGAGCAGCTGCAGCTCAAAGAAGGAAGTGGAGCACACTTTGCACACCCACTGGCCACGCTCGGGCTCTGTGGGGGCGCTGGGCTCGGGGGGTCCTGTAGCTGCAAGAAACAAGAGAGGAGAAAGGCACCTTGTGATGCATTCTGGTGGCCCGGCCGGGGACAGGGCCTGGTGGCCCGGCCGGGGACAGGGCCTGGTGGCCCGGCCGGGGACAGGGCCTGGTGGCCCGGCCGGGGACAGGGCCTGGCCCCCACGGACGACATGGACGAGGTCTCCAGAGCAGGCTGTGGCCCGCACGTTGCGTCCCACGTGACCACATCGACCCGTCACACAGCGAGGAGACAGCAGAGGCGGAGCCCTGGGCAGCACCACGGGGTCGGGCTGCGGCCGGGTGTGGAAATGCGGGCTCCTCGGGTATCAGACACACAAAAACCATGCTGAATTCCTGGGTCTCGCAGTGGCCTAGACAATGGGGGAGGGGAGGACCAAGAGAGGCAGCGACAGTGCCCCACCCGGAGCCGGTGCCTGGGCCGGGCCTACAGATGACCGATACCTGCTGTCCAGCAGGGCAGCCTCTGGGCCCAGGCCAGGACGATTTAACTGTGCCTTAAACGGCCACCCAGGGCAGGTGGCCTGAGCTGTCGGCCGATGGCACGCAGCACTCTGAAGAGGAAGGTTTTTGGGTGATTAATTAGAGGTAAGAGTCTCAGGGACCTCTCTGCCCGGGCTGGCTTCAAACCATGATCCTCAGGTCGTGGCCTCCTGAGTAGCTGGGATTACAGGCGTGAGCCACTGGCACTGGATTAGACAATTAATTTTTAAAAGGGGTCACGGCCAGGTCAGGTGAAACCACACTTTGCCCACTGCGCAGGAGAGGAAGGGTGATGCACCTGGCCAGGGACACCAGCTCCGTCACAGGGCCCTGTAGTGACCAGGGGCCCCGGAGCTCCCCGGCTCCACGGGGTGCTGCGCCCGGCCCCACGGGGGCCCCCGGAGCTCCCCGGCTCCACGGGGTGCTGCGCCCGGCCCCCCGGGGGCCCCCGGAGCTCCCCGGCTCCACGGGGTGCTGCGCCCGGCCCCACGGGGCCCCCGGAGCTCCCCGGCCCCACGGGGTGCTGCGCCCGGCCCCACGGGGCCCCCGGAGCTCCCCGGCCCCACGGGGTGCTGCGCCCGGCCCCACGGGGCCCCCGGAGCTCCCCGGCCCCACGGGGTCTGCGGCGCCCCACTCGTGAGGAAGAGTCTTGCTGCAGATCGCTAGCTGGGAAAAGATCAGATTCCAACAGCTGGACAGTCCACACCACCCGCACCCAGTGCACACGGCTTCTGTGCCAGCGCCAAGCTAACCGTCACAGTGGAACCCTCAATGCTGGGGCTGCCATGATTTAGCAGGTGGCTGCAGAATCCACGAGCTGACGCATTTCTCCATCAGGTGCGCACCTGCGGCCACGTGGAATGGAATCACGTCTTAGGAATCCTGACACACTCACGGAAAAAACGGGGCCACCTCCGGGTGACTCAGCGGAGACTTTCTGAGCTTGCAGCCACCCGGGAGTCTAAAGGCCACGGATGGCTCCATCCTTCCCTGGGGCCAAGGCACAGCAGGGCCACAAGGGTCTCCCTGAGCACTGCAGCCGGGGCCGCTGGCTGAGCAGCACAGAGCTCAGGAATGGGGATTCATGTGCAACCTGGGAACAGTCAGCCGGCTGCCACTTTCTAAACATTGCTCGGCTCTCTTCCTTGGTCTCATTGTCTACTAAAGTCTCTGAGACGCACACAGGCCTGGCCTCCACTGGGTGAGGCAGTCAACGCTGACCTCCAGGGGAGACCCCAACAACACTGCTCTACTGGCCCCGGTACCTGGAGAGCCACAGGACTCATGGGGGAGCAGAGGTGGGGGCCGGGGGGTGCAGTGAAGTGGGGGCAGGGGGGTGCAGTGCCATTTTAACAAGCCTCAGGCCGGTCGGTCGGGGACAGCCAAGTGAGCGCCCCACAGGGAGGGAAGGGCAGGAGGCCAGCCGGCAGCTGGCCAACATGATCAGTGACCTTTACCCTCGTCCAAGAAAGACCTGCCTGCCGTTTATCCCAACACACACAGCAAACCCATAACAGCGCTCCTGACATCTCCACCACCTGAAGTTGCGTAGTGATTTTCCCAATTAAAAAATTTATTCAAGCTGGGCGCTGGTGGCTCACACCTGTAATCCTAGCTACTCAGGAGGCTGAGATCTGAGGATCGCGGTTCAAAGTGAGCCGGGGCAGGAGAGACCTTGAGACTCCTATCTCCAATAAACCACCAGAAAGCCGGAAGTGGTGCTGTGGCTCAAGTGGTTGAGCGCTCGCCTTGAGCTGAAGCTGAGGGACCCAGGCCCAGAGTTCAAGCCCCATGACCGACAAAAAAAAAAAAATTATTCAAGCCGGGTGCTGGTGGCTCATGCACGCCTGTCATCCTAGCTACTCAGGAGGCTGAGATTTGAGGATCACCCTTCAAGCCAGCCCAGGCAGGAAACTCCATGAGACTCTTATCTCCAATAAAGCAGCAAAAAACCAGAAGTGGTGCTGTGGCTCAAGCAGTAGAGCGCTTGCCTTGAGCTGAGGGACAGTGCCCAGGACCAGAGTTCAAGCCCCACAATCTACTCAAAAAAAATATTATTCAGCTGGGCACCAGTGGCGCACACCTGTCCTCCTAGCTCCTTAGGAAGCTGAGATCTGAGGATCACAGTTCAAAGCCAGCCTGGGAAGTCTGCGAGATCCTTATCTCCAATTAACCAGTAAAGCACCAGAAATAGAGCTGTCGCTCAAGCGCAGAACCGTTAAGGGACAGCACCCAGGCCCTGAGATCAAGTTTCAGTACTGGCACAAAAACAAAAAAGCAAACAACTCAGGAGATAAGAGTATCACCAATTCCAGGCAAGTCTGGGCTCTGCAGAGAGAGTATAGCCCCAAACAAAACAAAGTTCCACATTCACCCAGGCGCAAGTTAAACGCCTAACGGAGCTCTGTAATTACTGAAGGTATCTGCTGGTTGGTTTTCCATTACTGGCAAAACCCTAGCAAGGCTGAGGTCGAGAAGGATTTCTCTTAAGTCCTGGTCTCATCACATTCAGTGCAGCAGACAGAACCCGGGGTCCAGCGTCAGGCCAACCTCCATGCGCCCCCCCCCGACCCCCGGTCCAGGTCCCCCTCCCTGTGTTCCCCACCTCCCTGCCCCCCCAGGCCCCCCTCCCTGTGTCCCCTTCCTCCCTGTCCCACCCCCCCCAGGCCTCCACCCCGGAGCCTCGCAGCTGGCCACGCACCCTGGACGCCAGTGCAGGCCTGCCTCAGCATTGGCTTCTCCATCTTCTTGGCGTAGAAGGCGGCGTACCACACGCGCAGCTCGGTGCCGGGCGGGATGTCCCTGCAGGTGGTGAAGTACACGTGGCCGCCGTGCTGGTAGGCCGTCAGGTTCTGGTGGCCGGGCTCCGCTGCCGGCCGCACCAGCATCATCCAGTTGCAGTCGTCCTCGTTGGAGGTATCAAAGCACACGGGGTGCCCGTCCTTCTGGAACACCTGCGGGGGAGGGGCGCGGCTCACCCCGGGTGCGAGGAGCCCGCCCCAGCGGGCCCGGACAGCCAGACACACCCCACGCCACGTGGACCCTGACTCCCGGCTCACCCCGGGTGCGAGGAGCCCGCCCCAGCGGGCCCGGGCAGCCAGACACACCCCACGCTACGTGGACCCTGACTCCCGGCTCACCCCGGGTGCGAGGAGCCCGCCCCAGCGGGCCCGGGCAGCCAGACGCACCCCACGCCACGTGGACCCTGACTCCAGGATTACTGGCACGTTCGGACGCCCCGCACCGGGGGAGAAGGACAGGTGTCTTAGAAGCTGACAGGCAATCTGCAGCTGCCCACGAGTGGCTCACGAAGGTCCCCACGCCAGCTCCTCGTGAGCGCAGCCCAGCGCCAAGCCCCTCACCTTCAGTGGAAACGCAGACTCCTTCTCCCACTTGGCCACCCTCCGGGACTCGAAGGGGCCGAACTGCGTCCGCTTGACCAGCTGCGTGACCGTGAACACGCCCTCGGCCCCGTCGTCCAGGCGCCTGATCTCCAAGTTGGAGGGGAGGGAGGACCTGGAAGGGGAAGAAAGGCCTCTGAGGCCGCCCGCCGCCTCTCTGCAGGGCCAGCGCAGCACAGGGCCTGCCCGGCTTCTGAGCCCGGTTCTCCAAGGCCGGCTGCAGGGCCAGCGCCGGATGGGGGACGGCTTACTGGAGTCCCCTGGGAGGAAGAGCAAGCTCAGGCAGTCACTATAGAGCCATGGAACCGGAGGGATGGCAGGGGAGAGAACGAAGGAGCGGCGACCCTGACCAAGACGCACCGTGCGCACCGTCCCATTTACCCAAGGGAAACTTCTTGGCACAACCCTAACAGTGAAAAGCCTCGTGGCACCCAGCACAGACCAAACCTCCTGGGGTGGGTGCTGCAGGAGGCTGAGAGCTGAGGATCACAGTTCAAAGCCAGCTCAGGCAAGAAAGTCCATGAGACGCTTACCTCCAATGAACCACCAAGAAAAGCCACAAGTGGAGCTATGGCTCGAGTAGTAGAGTACCAGCCTTGAGCACAGAAGCTCAGGAACAGCGCCCAGGCCCTGGGTTCGGGCCCTAGGACTGGCACCACGTGCACATGCATACACGCACACGCACGCGTGTGCACACACACACACACACAGTATCAGACTTAACCAGGGCCTCCAGCTCCTAGCAGCTCTAACCCGGCTTCTGGCCTTGGCCTCATCTCAACAGACTCCCTGGTGGCTGGGCCTCGTGTGGAATGAGGCCAGCAGGCGGTGAAGGGAGGCAGCGCATCATGCAGCTCCAAGCCAGCCTCCCGGGGAGGGAAGGAGACCGCAAGGGCAGAACTCCGCGGCCAAGGGCCACGTGCTTGCAGAGGCGGGGAAAAGATTTCTCGAAGGACTGGAGACCTCGCCCCTCAACTAGGAGGCCAGGGACAGGGACGGGAGGAGGGGGGAGGAGGACCCAGAGCTGGAACCCTGGGATGGGGGAGGCTCGGGCCAGCCCAAGAGCCCCAATACGGTCGCAGACCGCCATGAGGCTGGGCAGGGCCCCTGGGTGGGGGGGTCTCGAAGGGTCTACAGCATCCGAAGGTTCTGGGCAGGAGAGGGGTGAACAGCTCTCTCCTTCAGACAAAAACATTCATCTTTTCATCTGAGTAGAATAAGGCACTCTGAGACAAACAGGTGGTGAGAGGCCAATTGGGAAGCTTCTAGAAACAGTACTGATAAGCAGTGACCATGATTTGGGCCTTGGCTGGTGCCAGGCAGCCTCACAGATAGCAAGGATGACCTCGCAGGGTGACCGTGTCTCCCGGTCACAGAGAAGCACCTCCTTTCACGGGTCCGAGTTCAAGTTCAAACGCTACTCTGAAGCCACCACAGAGCCCTGGCCCTGGCCGAGGGGTGGGGCTGCCTGGGAGAGCGGCTGTTGGCCAGTGGGCCTCCAGTGTGTATGTCCAGGAGCTGCTTGGCTTGGGCTGGTTACCTGGACACACTGCCCAGTAAACGCCCCACACCGCATAGCCAGCCCATGGTTCCCTTGCCAGTAGGGGGCCAGGTCTTGGAACACAGAGGAAACTCAGCAAACAGGCGGCCTGCTTGGTATTGCTCAATGCATGAAAACTAACACAGCCAGGCAAGATGGCCTTCTCTTAAGAATGCTAAGCCGGCTGGGCGCTGATGGCTCACGCCTGTCATACTAGCTACTCAGGAAGCTGAGGTCTGAGGATCAGCCCACAAAGCAAAGTCCATGGGACTCTTACCTCCAAGTAACCAGCAAGAAGCCAGACTCGGAGTTGTGGCTCACGTAGTAGAGCACGCATCCTGAGGGAAAAGGCTGAAGGGCAGTGTCCCGGCCTGGAGGTCGAGCGAGGGGGCCGTGCCCCCTGGGGGTGCAAGCGAGGGGGCCGTGCCCCCCGGGGGTGCAAGCCGCTCAGGCCCCCCACACCCCCACGCAGCCCGCCGCTCTGGCTCTCACGCTCCTCTGCCACTCCGTTTGCTACCGCCAGCGGGCCGGGGCCTGTCCTAAGACATTGTGGTCACTCACCTCGCTCTGCTCAGCACGAAGGAGTCTTTGACCATGACCACAGGACCCAGCTCAGGACACTCGGAGTCGTGGTACTGACTGCAGTCCTCACACCCTGCGAGGACATGCACAGTCAGGAGACAGCGTCCCGGGAGACAAACCCAAAGCCCGGGACCCGGGACCCGGGACCCTGCCAGACGGGGGTGACCCACGGTCACGAGTCTGTGTCCTGATACCCCGAAAACAAACAAGCAGGTGCACACCAGCATGGAACCACCATCAGCACCCCGAACACAGGGGAGACAGGACCCGCTGCCCCCAGACATCTCACATGCCAGTCACCCCTAGAGGGACCACGACCATGGTGTCCCCCAAAGAATGAGAATCAAGTCTGCTAAGACTTGTCTCTTCCTGAACCTCGGGTGGCTTTTCTGGCGCCTTGTGAAGACCCCGGCCGGGCAGCACAGGGTTTGTGGGTTGGGTCTCTCAACGCAAGTCAAGTCCTTCCAGTCTTAAAAGAAACAGCTCTGCTGTTGCAGAAAGCAAAAGAGTGGACACGGATTTCCCAGGCGTCCCCTCACAGCCAGCCAGGGGCACTCACAGACGAACATGATCTCCTCGCTGCCCTCCTCAGCCATGGCCGCCACCTGTCGGGACAAGAAAGCCCGTCAATGGGGAACTGTACCAGAGCAACTTTTTTCTCTTTTTACCAAGCCTTTGACGCCTGGGCTTGTGCGGGACCTGCAGGGCGGGGGGGGGGGGGGGGG